AGGGAAAGAGAAAGGAAAATATCAATTTTACTTTTTTGGTATTTCATGTCCAATAACCAATAGTTTCTTTGGAAAATGCCAAAATCCTTAATGTAACATTAGCAATTAACCACACTCCAAAAACTTTGACAAAACTAATTCAATCCAGAACAGTTATGGCTAACCCAACCCAGAAACAACAGCTAGTGTAAATTTTCAGTCACAGGTTGCATTGGAAATTACCTGGATAACTGTCTTGGATCCAACAAATGCTTCAATCTTTTTCCAGTCACGGTCAAACCTGAACACAGAATGAAAGGAACTAAACAATATGAGATAATGCAAAAGGATGACTAAGGCCAGAAAAGGGGAAAACAAACACGTAGCTTAAATTTGACATAGTCAATTTTGTTTGGAAATAGGAAACTATGTTTGATCATTAAATGAACCTCTTCAACATAAAGATGCGATTAGTACAATATATTCTTGATTTATTATCAAAATTTACAATTTAAACAACTTGGTTCTTTTCAGGTGTACTTGATTGGAGAGGAACGACAGTATTTTCAAGGGTGTGACTTTGCCTTTGCCTTTGGTTTTCTTTTTTTCTTTTTTTTTTTTGTTGGATAGGTTTGTGTTTATGGCTTCCATTAGGTGTCTTTCCTATGGTTGTTTCAAGGGAAATTTATTATTGAAAGACAGAGAGATCAACCAGCTCTGTTGCATTTTCCCAGCCACTGCTCAGTGTTTTCTTCTCATTCTCTTCTATTTAGGAAAATTTCTTAACCTCCCCCAAGATTTAACTTCTATCTTTTCTTTCTAATGGTGGAAATTTAACTTCTACCTTGTTTGTAACCCAACAAATCGGAACCATCATGTTTGTCCACAATTTAGAACCTTGTATACAGTATACTACTAAAACCCATGTCTCCATTTAACTTAAAAATCCACACATTACATACAATTGAAGTAGAGAAGAAAATAACAAAAAAAAAAAAGAGTAATTTTTACGTACAATTGAAGAGCTTCGAGAAATTTGTCGTGTTCGGGTTCAGTCCAACTCTCCCTAGACTTGGTGATAGTGTAAGGCTTGCGAGTCTTCTTAGCAGGGTCCTCCAGCGAATCTCCGGCGAAGGGGAGGATTCCGGGGAGCGACATGGCGGAAGGGTCCAAATAGAAAGCCTCAGAGGGGTTGGGGTTTTTGGACACCATCATGCTTAGTAAGCTTCAAGCTTTGTATAATGTGAGAGAAAGAGATGCGGGTGTCAGTTAGAGACACAGATACAACTCAACACTCAACTCAAGCACACACTATTTAATACTCTGCTTTTCGCTTCCCCGCCAATCCCCATTTGACACCTCACCAACTAACTTAATCTTACACATTCAAGTTTAAAACCCTTTCGACCCTTTAAGGTTCGCGTTGTAATTAAGCTTCCGATTCTAATTTCTAAGGTTTGGAATTTGGATATTTTCAAAAACCGTACTACAATAATGCATTTCATTTCTATGACAAGACTACGGATCACTTCTGAACTTGTTCTTATCATACTGGTTACTTGGTTTCATCTATGTACACTTATTCAATGACAGTTCTGTCTAAATATCTTTTTCTTATGTTTTATTGGTAAAATATCATACTAGTTTTTTTTTTTTTTTTTTATAGCTTTTTTGTTACAACGATTATTTTCATTTTTATTTTTTTAAATATTCTTGTCACCTAATATTAGGATTACTTTTTAGCTCTGCAAGTCTAATTCAAGACAAATTATAGACATTTCGTTAATGATTATGATAGAATTAGAGAAAGATTCATTCGTGTGGAAGATTGTGAGTGTTTTTTGAGCTAAATATCTCCAAATCGTAAGCACACTTGCCACTTGGTGTAATAATTTCTTCAGAGGATGTGCCTTGTCCCATTTCCTGTGACGTGTTACGTGTGGTCGAGGCTAAGAAAGAATTATAATAGGATACTATGGAAGCTAATCAGTATCATGCAAAACTTGACTTTAAAGCATACTTAAAATAAAACAAACAATCATCTGATTTTGAATTTACTTCTTCATGAGAATTTCTTTTATAAATAAAAAATATTACAATGACGACAATAATCTAACCCATCCTACGTTTATCTAGCTCTATGTATACATATGAACAGTTAGGCTTTTTTTTCTTCTTTTTTTTTTTTTGTAGGTTTCATACATCACACACTGTTGACTCTAAAAACGCAAAAACATGCGATCAGTTGAAAAAAAAAATGGAATAAATACCATGACATAGTGAAATTCCGGGAGGAGAGGGGCATTCCATATTCATGAAATCATAATGTAACCTAAACACACCCACTGTTAGGCGCAAAGGCAAAATAGGCTAAGAAAGAAAACCCTATTGATGTTAAATTTTAATTTGACCAAAATAAACAATTTTATTTTCCATGTGTCGGCTTTGCGATATGTAAGTAAAAAAATTCGAATGGGAAGATAAAATATATTATTGCGTTTATTTAGAGGATTAAAATAGGCGTACAATTTAAATATTAATATTTTCTTATTATTTATTTTCATTATTTAATTTCTTTGGGTTTGAGTAAAGAAGAAAAGTAGCATCGGAGTTAATAAATAGTGTATGAAGTATGAAGTATGAAGGAGGGGAAAATAGAGTGGGTTAGTCCTTTGATTTGTTGAAGAAAAACGACAGGAAAGTGGCAATTAAGTGTTTAGTAACGTGTCGAGAAGAGGTGGGCTGGGTGAGAAAGGTATGGCCCACAACGTATCCGTTGTTGTAAGGTGGGCAGTGACACCCAAAGGTAGGCCACATGATATTAAGCAAGATATTTCTGTGCTGGGCCCGCTAAAAATGTGATGGGCCCGTATCCATCTCACGTTGTGAGGACCCAATGCCCCCTTTGCTATTCTTTCCTTTTCCATTTTGTTTCTTTCCCTCGTGTCTGCCTAACTCTCTTCTTTGTTGTCTATCTCCATATACATGTTGTTATTGCACTTTCGTGTGTTGTGCTAAATCACTTTTTCAACTCATATTTCTGTCTATGTGCAATTAAATCCTCTACCATCCATTCTGGGAATGCCACTGATTCGTGTCAAACAACTAAAAAGCAATTTAAACATGTTAAGAATGTGTTTATACTTGCACTCCTTCAAGTTTAACAAATTTCCACCGTTATTCCTACTTTACTTAAATACATCTTAATTTATATGATAACATAATTCCATGAACCTTTATTGTTAACAAATATGAAATATCTCTACTTATTTCATTAAACATCATGCATTATAAGTGTAATTTGTCCGAATTAAAAACATACAACAGGAATTAAGGATGAATTAAAAAGTTAAGATTTAAAAATTATTTTGCTCCCAAGACATTATGATGTGAATTAACAGAAGTTACTTTTGTCCAAAGTGCACGTGTAGACCGGGATTATGTAGCTGTGCTTGCCTCTTCAAGCTAATATGGTATTGGTAATTAGGTATGGGATGCAACTTAGTCTTGTTTCAACAACAAGAACAGATGAAGTAGCCATAACTGCACAATTTTTATTTTTATTTTTTATTTTTTTTATGAAGACTTGTATAAACTTGTTCACGCACACTTTGAATATGTGAAGTTGTGAGGTCATAATCGAAATCCTGACTTTTGTTGAACAACTTTTTCTTTTCTTCAGTTCTTTGTGGTCACATTCAGGATGGAACCAAAACTTCAATTTAGAGAAAGCTAAAGAAAAAGTTGATTAAAATAAATTTAATTTTTTACATATATTAGAAATAAAAAAATTAATATTATATAACTAATTTTTAATGAATAAAAATACACAATTATATTGAATATAAAAATAGTATACGAAATGTTTAAACCCTAAATCCTAAAACATTTATATGCATATTTAATATTTTAATAAGACCATAAAATTATTTTTATAATAACTTAAATGAACCTTAAAAAAATTAAATGTAAGCATGGTCCCATCCCATTTCCTTCCTCCATCCCCTGGTCACATTGGTTGTTGAAGCTTTTTTCTCAAAATAGTATAGCTATGCACTCTCTTCCTCTAGTTGGTGAGCTGATTATGTGTAAATTTTGAAGGCTTTCTTTTCCCACGTAGGTTTTGTCCGATGGTCTAATTAATTGATGCCATCAAGGTTCAAGACATTGAGCAATTTATTCGAAATTCAACTATGTTTGCGTACCTATAACACTTAAAAAAAAAATTAAACACAAGTTAAACAATTGTAGTTTATTATATAAAATCATAATTTTGTGTATAATAAGTTTCTGATTTATAATGTAATTGTGACTAATCAATCAATTTGTCTTTTAAAGCTTAGAGAAAAAAGCAAATTACAATCACGTAATTTATCTACAACTCCTATCTACAAAAATCACTTATGATTGTTGGTATCTACAAATCCTATTAAGAAAATATTTATAAAACATAAGTAGAGTTGGAAGATTATTGTTAGGGTGATTATTGATTAAAGTTAATTAAAATAGTTTTATATATATTTGATTGTGTATTATGTATGTGTATTAATGATGATGTATGATTGTTTCAGGGGGATGGAATACATGATTCTATCAAGAGAACTGTGTGCTTGCTAAGTGAAAGATTATATTATGTATTTAATTGTAAAGTTGTGTTGCTTTGCTTCCTAAGAACACGTGGATGGATTAAGGTTTCAGGATTTAGAAATGAAAAAAAATTGAATGAGAAAGTTTTGTAAACTTTGATTCTTTTGTTATTGAGAGTTGATACTTGTTTGCCTATACATTTTCTTGCTCTATTTGTATACTAATACTTTCGTAATGATACTTACTGAACAATGAATTCATTGTTTTGTTGGTGCTTGAATAAAGACACAAGTAGTATATATGTGAAAATGACTTATTAACTTTTGTAAGAAGGGGAAAAGCTTAAAAACTTTAGTTTCAAGCGCAAACACAGAAACACCATTTTCATTGATAAACAAAATAAAATGCCAATAATTATATATGAAATATAGGATGTATTGTATAAGGAGAATGAAAGCTTTTTCTTGAAATGACTTATATTGCATCGGTAGAGAGGGGAAAAAACCTGAAAACTCAATATAATAATGGATTCAAGTGAGAAATAAAAAGGAGTTTCCATATTAGCACAATCTCAAACTAAAAATGAATTGTATCTCAAGCATCAATGCATTAGTTTACACTTATTTTTTTACTTGCCATATTGCACACTATTTTATACACAACTGGAACTAGGTTCTTATAATAGCTTCTACCTTAATTCCAGTTAAATTCCAAAAACTACATTAGCAAGAATGTATAGGTTGCCATTCAAATGTATGTTGCCTAAAGAAGAAAGATTTTGAACATGTTATATTCTTGATTGGAGTTTAAAAAAATGAATCCAATCATCTTAGATAAAGAATGTTAGGAAGCATTATTTAATTTTTAAAAATAATGCAAAACAAATAAATTGTTGGTCCCATTAATATCAACTTGGAAGGAAGAAACTGTAGAATTAATTGTTAAGTTGCATAAAATTCATCACTTGCCTCCAGTATTATTCTCAATCCTTTTCTTTGCCTTATTTTCATTATCATTCGGTCTCTTTTCTATCTTTCATTTCTCATTTGATATTTTAATTTCTTCTTTTTTTTTCCTCCTATCTAGGATGCATTTTTGTTATGGTAGATTGATGTGTGTTTTGTTCTTAAAGAAGGTGCAAAGGTCTAATGTTTTGTTCTTAAAGAAGGTGCAAAGGTCTACCTGGATACTACACCCAGCAAGTTTAAAAAGTGCTAAAATTCACAAGTAATATAACTTTTTGATTAGCATGTGTAATCCCTTGAATATAAAATTGAAGGTCAAAAATTGTCATATAATACACAATTCTTTTGTCATGTTCTGTCTGTTGCTTAACTTAAATTGAAAAATAAGGTATAAAAACCATTTTTGGCATATTCTTTGGAAGTTTAGGAACCTTTCAAGAATCATGTTTTTCAAAATTGTTCACTACTCATTACTTTAGTGATTGATTCCAATTGATTTTTTTTTATAATAAATTAGCAAAGAATGTATTGTTAAAGTTTTCTTGTATGTTATTTTTAAGTGCAATTTACATTTGGGGGAAATCCGTTGACCATGGTGTTGCTTCAATTGACTTACCGGAGGTTTTGTGTGTTTTTGTTTTTTGTTGTTTATAATTTTTTTTATATTGATGTAAAAAATTGTTTCCTATTTTTCCATTAAGGAGCTTATTATACATTTTGTAGCTTCATGCATGTTGATAGCATGATGTTTTCTGTTTGTCAGATAATATA